TAGATATGGTAGCTAATGTTATATAACATAATTTAATTTGTCTTTAATACTTGATGCCACGATGAAAAAAACTTGAGTCTCATAATCAGATCTTTAGACAGACAGCAGAACACTTGCTTGTTCACACTACTCATTTAAAATAAGCTGAAACAGCACAATTTTTGAGATTTTGTTGGGATAACTTAACTGTTTTAAGCTCAATTCACTTAAATTTGAAAAATTAATAAGTAAGCTTAATTTTTTCATGTTGTCCCAAAACATATAGATTGTGTGAATCTGGTATTATTCTTTATAGTGAAAGTTCAGACTCCATAATGATTTTCATTTGCCAAAGACGTTTTTTTTTCTTGTGATATATGTGAAGCTGATGTCCCAATTGTAAAAGACTACCTTTTTAAAAAAAATTTTCAAGAATCGCATAAAGTTCACTTTTTTTATGTTTAGTTGACTCTTAAATTCAGCACTCATTTAGCACTCATTTTCAGAGCTGCACACAAGACTGCTTCCATATAAGAGGGTTTGGTATCATGACAGTTTTGTTTCTTTCTGACTATAAAAGGATGTTACACACATTTCACATAAATCCTGCAAAATGTATCCATAACATGACAACTCACTTAACCCATGTTCATTCATTTTTTTTCAGCTTAGTCCCTTTATTTATCACACCACAGTATTATATGTCACCACAGAGGAATACACCACCAACTATTCCAGCATATGTTTTACACAGCGGATGCCCTTCCAGCCACAATCCAGTACTGGGAAACACCCACATTCATACACATACTCTCACATTCACACACACACTCATACACTATGGCCAATTTACAACCCAGGCTCATTCTGAAAATCATTCGCGCCTGCTGGTCTCTCAAAAATCTACCAGAGGCTGCTTTCGACTGACTGTTTGACTGACTGACTGAATGGCTGACAGACTGACCAATCGACTGACCCACCCTCCCCCTTCCTTAAAACCCAACCGACAAATTTAAAAGCAATTCCGAAAAAAAGACCTAGTCTAATTTTTGCCTCTTTTTACCACATTCTTACAGTGTTATTTACTTGTTTACTTTATATTTTAGCTTTTGTCTTACCCACTTTCTGAAATTGTTCTTCACCAGACTCAAACCCCATTGTCATGGTCATCTCCTCTCTGCATTTTAAGACCACCGACATACATGTCGTACATACATAAATGCAGCAATACATACTTCTGGCTACATAATTCGCGATCTCCAGAAATGTATATAGGGCTACGTTTAAAGTATGTTGCCTATTTAGCTTATTCAATTTACCTATAGTGCATGTCTTTGGAACTTTGGAACCAGCTGACCCAGCCGGGACTTTAACCAGCAACCTTCTTGCTGTAAGAGAACTACGTCACAATGCTGCCAACTTGTATACTTTCTTCTTTAAAATGATGATGAGACTGAATTTTTTTTGTTCATAATGTTAAAGGGGTGGTCCACTACGATATCATTACAAATTCTTAGGCCTCGGACAATGAGCCGTAAATTTATTATTCCAGGAAGTTAGCTTCTAATTGGTCAACTTTCCATGGAGGGTGGATCTGAACCCGCCCTATAAAGCTTAGGACCAATCTCTTCGCACCCCTCTCTGTTCAAAACTTCACTTGGCTCTGGAACACGCTGCCAGGGAGCTCTCTTCGCACCCTCTCTGTTCAACCTCTCTCTCTTTGAACTCGCTCTCTTCAAACTACTCTCTGCTCTGAAACACGCCGCCTGGGTGCTCCTCCCTCTCTCTCCCGTCTCCAGAGCAACCCCCCTTTCTGCTCTAAAGCTCTCTGTTTTGAAACTTTCTTCAAACTTTCTACAACTTCATCAGAAACCTAGGCAGAGAAACCTCCAAGAAAGCAGGCGGAAACCCAGACGGAAAGGGTTAATCGCAAAGCTCAGACATTTCAAAGTTCAGAATCTTTTTGCTGCCTCAGCTTCAAACACGGACTCACAGAATCAACAAGCCGAACCATGCGCTCAACAACGGGAGCTCGGAAATCACGAACAGACCGCAAGTATCACCTTTCTCCCAACATCTAAACTGGTGTGAACTAAATTCAACCCTAAAGAGACAATAGAAGGGTTAGATTGAATTTGATTACATTTGGTTTGCTTGGTTTGTGCTTACAAACTCTGAGGTCTTCCCATCATTACATCCTCTCAACCTTTTACTTTACGTTAGTTACTCTTCCCTATGAATGTGTGTTTGTGTTAGGTGCTAGTTTTTGTTAGATTAGCCAATAAAGTTTAATTTTGTATAAAGAAAGGTGCCTGTGTATATCAATGAATCTAATGTCTTAAACTTGGATCTTGCTACCCTGTTCAAAGTTTATGGGTTTTTATTTTGATAGCATAGCTGGACGATTCGTTTGTTTGGATCTAAAGAATCGATTTATTTGAAGCCCTGTTCAAATAAATCTTCCTCCCGCTAAGCTAGTCCACTATATAATGGTCCAGAAGGTACGCGAGCACTGAAATCTACATCATAACTCGCAACATTATAGGAAAGGAGCGGGAAGAATAACCTTGATCTAATTTTTACAATAATGACGATTAAATTGCTCGCATATCTACATCAAGTGTGCCGCAAGCCTGCCTTTGAGTGAAGGTCTCGGCCGTTAGATCGCCCCCTGGGGGCTGGCTGCAGTACAAGTAACAAAGCCCGCCTCCTCTGTGTTAATGAAGAAGACTCGAGTTCAAAACAAAAAAAAAAAATTCACTTGAAATTAAACTGTCCTGAAAGATGGTCTTGGTCATTTAAGGCAGTTGTTATCATGCTGCTATAGGTGCAAATCTTCATTTTTGCAGTCAGTATGTTTTTAACCAGTAATTTGATGCAAAAAAAACGGGGCGTGTTGTCATGATTGACATTTGTGATTGACAGCTTCTCTGAGCAGATCGTCGGCGCTTCAGGGGGAGATTGAAGCAGGATTGAAGATATAGGGAACTAACAATCATCGATTACTGTGTTATTTCACTGCGAAAATATGAGTTGTTCAGCAGTAAACTGTTCTAACCGGCCTTCAGGATCTGATGGATCACTGAGTTTTTTTCGGTAAGGTTAAATGTGAGCTACACTCTTAAAAGAAACGGTTCTATATAGAACCAAAAATGGTTCTATCAAGCGCTTCATATATGGAACCCCAAAAAGGTTCTAAATAGAACCATTTTAAGGGTTCATTAAATAGAACCCCAAATGATTCTTTCACTCTTAAAATAAACGGTTCTATATAGAACCAAAAATGGTTCTTTCAAACGCTTCATATATGGAACCCCAAAAGATTAAAAATAGAACCATTTAAGGGTTCATTAAATAGATCCCCAAATGGTTCTTTCAAGCGCTTCATATATGGAACCCCAAAAAGGTTATAAATAGAACCATTTAAGGGTTCAATTCAATTCAATTCAATTCAGCTTTATTTGTATAGCGCTTTTACAATGTAGATTGTGTCAAAGCAGTTTCACATAAATGGTCATATTTATGTGAATATGGTCATGGTTCATTAAATAGATCCCTAAATGGTTCTTTGAATTCAAGTTACATGGTTCTATTTAGAACCATTTGAGGGTTCTTTATTTATTATTGAATAAAAAATAAAACCAATGCAGAAAATTCAAGTTGTTTAAATTTATTCAATTTACTTCACAAAATAAGTTTTAAATAATATTTAAAATTGCACCTCTGCGTACGTTGTATAAGATCTACCTCTAAACATTATACATTTTTACTATTTAATTAGTAAACATAATTAACAGCTTAATGGCATTCAACAATCTAATTCTAATGATTTCACTTTTTATTAAACATTTGTAAGCTTGTTTACTGATTGAACAAATACAAAACTTAACTTTCAAACATCTCTAAAATGATGAAAAATGTATTACAATGCAGACAGAAACAATACACAAACATCTATTAAATAACACTACAATTTCAACAAGTTGACGGTACATGTATGTATTAGTCATGGCAACATCCATTTTTATACATAATTTTCAATAAAAGTTATTGAAGAAAGTGCGTAATGGCACACAAAACTTTGCAAAATGATTAGACAAAACACTGAGAACAGCCACTCCACAACCTGTAGCATGTCCATGTTCGCCGGCCTCTCTTATAACGTAAATAGTTTTGTCCATGGGTGGCACAGTGGCTCACTGGTTAGAACTGTCACATCACAGCAAGAAGGTCACTGGTTCGAGTCCTGACTGGGTCAGTTGGTGTTTCTGTGTGAAGTTTGCAAGTTCTCCCAGTGTTTGTGTGGGTTTCCTCTGGGTGCTCCAGTTGCCCCCACAGTCCAAAGGCATGCGTTTGGTATTGGTGAATTGGCCATAGTAAGTGAATGTGTGCAGGCGTATGGTGTATGGGTGTTTCCCAGTGCTGGGTTGCGGCTGGAAAGTGAAGAGTAATTGCTAATTCATTCTACTGTGGTGCCTCTGATAAATGAGGGAGCAGTAATAGTGAGGATAGTGAGCGAGTGTTGGCCATCGTAATGCTGACACTTCAAGCCTTGACGGAATCAGGAGAGCTGTTAGGATCTTTGGATTTCTGTAAGACAATATTTCAATGCTGAGTACTTTCTTCTTTCCTTCCCTTCTATTAAACCATTTCTTTTAAAGATGTTTCTGTGTCCTTCACTAAGTCCTTATATGCAGCATCCTAAATTAAAACATTTTGTTTACTTTGTGTAAGTTTCCAAGTGACACATTTTCAGCAATACAAGTACTTTAAAGTCATCAAAAATACAGAAATACTGTGTAGACAGCTGTAATATATTTTCAATTTAATCTGCATCTCATTTGTTACAGAATTTAATGAAATTGACATTTCTGAGTGACCTCAATTTAGTATTTTGTAAATACTACAAAAAATGTATTTTTGTATTTAGTAAAAATGTATATTAATTTATACATTAAATAAAACAATAAAATTAAAATAAGAACAAAACAAAATAATTGTTTATCAAATAACATACATCATATTTGGCAGATACTTTTATCCAAAGGGACGTAGATTGTGTTTAATCTATACATTTATTAATATGTGTGATCTGGAACACATCTGGCATTGCTAATGCCTTGCTTTACCAAATGAGCTTTAAAATGTCATATACACAGATTTTTCATATCTATTTGGCACACAATGTAACAGTGTTTGGTTACTCGCAAGCTGTGGCACTCCAAGAAGAAGAAACTGCTCCATTAGTTTTGCAGACCCCTCCATAATCTGCGCTCTGGAAAATAGTGTTTCATTTGGTTCTTGACTTATTCGTAAACGATGTCGCATTCTAGGTCCATCACAATCTGAGGTAGGAAGACAGCATTTGTAGAGTGTGTAAATACAAATTTAAATCACAGAATTAATCTTGACATGAAATGTATTGAAATGAACTTACCTTGTGTTAAGTCCCTCAGAGTCCAGTTCACTTCCTTTTGATCCCATCATATGAGCTCACCACTGAAATACTTTCATTTTTACATTTGTTTTGAAGACATTGCAACAAGGAATCCTGTAGGCAAAATTACACCTTTCAATACATATTTCTTCTCTGCAGGACTTTTTTTAAGCAACGACCTTAATATTCTCACTGTATTAAAACAGCAGTAGTAAGTAATAGAATATTTTTTTGATAAATATATTTTTTCAGTACACAACAACCAACAAGTCTGAATTATGCATGTTATAAAATACAATACTTTACCAGGTGTGCTTGAAGATGATGTCAAACAATTATGGATGTGACATGTTTTTCTTTAAGCTGGGATCCTTCTTCTTCAAAGCTACTTGTGTGCAGCAGATCAAATTTGGAAACTTAATATGGGTCCCATGACACTTTTCTGTAATGATAAATACAATCTTGAAGTCTTTTATAATATTTATTTCATTTTACTGACCACAATACAGTTTGTTTGGATTTTAAAACAATGATACATACCAAGCACAAGTTTTATGAAGCAGTTCAGTTTCCAGGCTGTTTGAAGAAAGATAAAATATACATTAAAATATTTATTTTAAACTTATTTTGCACTATATATATATATATATATATATATATATATATATATATATATATATATATATATATATATATATATATATATAATTTCACAATACATTTAGTCTGCATTTTTGTGTCTTTTATAAATGAGACCTGATCTTTCATCTATGGATTGTTAAAATATGTTTGGCTTTTTAAAGGTTTCAATAATATTCAGGGGCGGACTGGCCATAGGGAGAACTTGCCACCGTGACTGGCCTCCCGCGCGTGCACAGACTCGGGCACAAATCTGCCTGTGCGGGCACGAGCGGTGCACTGCTATCTTGCGGTTTTATGCAGACTAGCGGGAAACTCTCAAAAGCGGGCAGTAATGTCCACTACTTTGCAGAGTTTAGCTCAATCACTGATAAAACACACACGAACCAAGCTAAAAGTGAGCGTTTGTTCAAGGTTGGAGCTAAAAACAACACGAAAAACACAATGAAATCGGCACAAATCTAGTTAATTTTAAAGTAACATGCACATGCTTCATTCACGCTCTCTCGAAGCTCGCCTTCAAATAACACAGCTGTGTACTGTTATCGGTAATTTAATTAGTGGTACTGACAAACAAGTATAGGGATATTGTAACTTATTTCGAATAAAAAGCAGAACAAATTCAACTTAACAGATTTCTGAACCGAAGGGTGACGACCGAGGTCATCGCAAGCACAGTGTTTATCCATATTAACACTAAAGTTGCCCCCATTCAATCTGTATCACCATATAACACGAGGGATTTTCTATCAAATAGAAACCTTACTTCATAATACAAAATATTTCACTATATATATTAAATGTACTAACATACCTGAATGATGAAGCTGAAATAGTGGACTTCTCCTTTCGAAAAATTAACCTTCTCTCGCGGCTCTTCACCACTGGTCCATGACGATGTCCTTGTCAATGACTGACGTCACCAGAGGGCTTTTTTATGATTATTAGTTTCAAATAAATTATTAAACCATAACAACATGTTACTGCACAGTCTAAATAAATTGGTTATTTTATTTATTTCACAAAATAATTTGTCAAAAATGTTAAACATAAACTAGGCCTATAAGTTATATGCTATTGTACAAACCTGCATAAAAAAATCCCATCATACTGTACACTGATTAAGTTTTTGACCACAGCATTTATTAGGTTTTGACTCAAAAAGCTTTGTCTCTCTGTGTTATAACTTATAATTATTTCATAATCTTTACTAAATAATTATGTTATGATTCAAAAATTATAGAACCGTTTTAATCAAAAAGGTTCTTTGCAGTCAAAGGGTTCTAAATGGAACCATTTTTGGGTAAAAGGTTCTACTGGCCAAGTATAGAACCCCAAGGTTCTATATAGAACCTTAAGGAACCTTTTTTTTAAGAGTGTAAGTTAAGGTAGGCTAATACCTGTATGTATTATTAACGTTAGCTAAGATAACGCCTAGCATTAGACATGACGGGCCTCTTTATGTGCAAGCTACTAAATGTTTTTATGGGTATACAATTATAATTCGAGAGATAAAACTGAAGTTATCCTGCTCTGATTAGTTAGAGCACTGTATACAGCAGTCTACTGTAACGGTAACGTTAGTTGAACTTGATTTAAAATGGCAGAACCATTCCTGATATTTAACAATAGTGGCATGTTAATTTTATCTACAGAATTGTCTATTTAAAAAAAGTTATTGCTTTGAAACAACATTTTAAAACGTATATAACAGGTAGAACTGTATATAGTGTATACTATTTCAAATTTATTTCACGTTAAAATTCATTAACTACCATGTACTGTTAAAAGCTTATCTTAACGTATGGAGACGTGAGTTATCCGTTTATTTATTTAGTAAAATGTATTTGTTTTAGCCTTCATAAAATACACATCCAAATAGCTGTAAATTCCCATTTGTAAGTAATTAAGACATTGTTTAAATCACTTGATATTTATATATTTGTATTCACTTCTGCTTCTGAGAACTATATTTCCATAAAAACTTTATTGATTCCTTTAAGTTTATAAAACAATGTCAAAAAAACAAAACAAAACATGAATATAAAATTGTCAAAGGCAGCTAATTGAAACTGTGATAGTAGCTGCATATGTTTTGTAGTTTTCCTTTAGGTAGGCATGATGCAGCAAGATTGAAACAATGGGTGGTGAACATGAGACGCAACGGCTGGAAACCAACAACTTCATCCCGTCTTTGCAGTGCTCATTTTGAAGAGCATGCTTTTTTTTTTTTTTTCAGTACATTTACCAAGTTTCTTAAACTCTTAACGCAGCAATATACCTAAAACACACAACTGACTAAACAGTTTATTTCATGCTCAAAATCACACATCATAAACTAAACCACAAAACTAATGTTTAAAATACAATAATAAACTAACACAACACTGCAAACTTGTTTTAAAATTAAATAATAACTCAAAAGACTAAAACATGTTCTCGTCCAACAGGAAAATTTAATCATTCATCATAACACATTGACAAAAAATAAAATAAAATATATAAATAAATAAATAAAACTATCATCTGCTGAAATTATGGAGACTGCATTGTTTTGTGTCAGGTCTGCCCCCTATGTTTGAACCTTCTTTACATTTTTGTTTTGCTGGGTTTAGTAAATGCGTGTATTTTCTTTTGCTCCTGAAATTCAATACAAAAAAATAAATGACCATATCAGAGTAGCTTTATAAAATGTACAGTTTATGTAAAAATAAATAAAACTTAAAAGACACAGAGTTGCTGCAGTACAAACTTTATTTGCAAAAAGACATACAAGATGTACAAACAGAAAAAGCACCACAATAACAATAATAATAAAAAAGTAATCTTCTGCATTTGGTCACATGTTCTCATTCACATCACACCTGATATGTTCTCTGGCAAGGCATGGGAAGAATTCTTTTGTTGTTCTTTTTCCACTCAAGTTCAGCCCAAAGAACATATTTATGATCATGAGTGTGGTTCCTTGATGGAAATATGCTGTGATTTAGGTATTTGAATAACTGCAACAACCTGTTTCTCATGGACGGTGGAAAAAAATGCAGTCAATATATTTGTGTTTCAATACACAACATGAACAGCTATTCACTTTGACTTTAGCCTATAGAAGTTATGTTTAGAACATGTTATCTGTTCTGACATACAATGTGAAAGTATTTGTAAATTTGACTGTAACATTACATTGCTTTGGTCTTGGTTGAGCTTGTTTGTAAAAGAAGTTCAAGCATTTGAAATTAGTGTTAACTGGATGCATTTTGTATCAAAGCAAAAAGAATAGTTTTTTAGCCTACAAAGACGGATGTTGTGCTAATTGTGTTAAGAGTTTTGGAAACTTGTTAAATGTATTGAAAAAACTGTCACAGCGATTGTAGAGAAAACTAGAGTGCTTGTCAGATATATGAATATGTTTAATACACAGCTTAGTACTGGAATATGCACTTTATTTTAAATTCAATTAATGTTACATTTTAATCTGCTTTAATCTTAATCTGAATTTTAATCATTATTCTTACTGGATAATGGAAAGCATTTTGTCAGCATCCTTATTGTCAATTTATTAAAGTATATGAATTTAATTATTCATATACTTTAATAATGCAGGCTAACATACTCAAAATAGTAGATTAGAAAAGAAAACTTTTCACACTCATCTAGATTTGTGTTTATTGAAAGACGTCGTTTTTTTCTTTCCTCATCTTTGTTTTTTATTTTGTTTTTTTCTTTAGGACAGGGGTGTCCAAACTTTTTGGGCCGAGGGCCAGATGCAAAAAAAACAACGTTGTCGCGGGCCAAATTTTACACACATCACACAGACACGCATATATATATATATATACAGTTGAAGTCAGAATTGTTAGCCCCCGTTTATTTTTTCCCCAATTTCTGTTTAACAGAGAGAAGATTTTTTTTTCACACATTTCTAAACATATTAGTTTTAGTAACTCATTTCTAATAACTGATTTATTTTATATTTGCCATGATGACATTAAATAATAATTGACTAGATATTTTTAAGACACTTCTATACAGCTTAAAGTGACATTTAAAGGCTTAACTAGGTTAATCAAGTTACAAGTTAAGGTAATTAGGCAAGTTATTTTATTACAATGGTTTGTTCTGAAGACTTAAGGGGCTAATAATTTTGACCTTAAATGGTTCATAAAAAAATTAAAACCGCTTTTATTCTAGCCGCAATACAACAAATAAGTCTTTCTCCACAAGAAAAAATATTATCAGACATACTGTGAAAATGTCCTTGCTCTGTTAAACATCATTTGGGAAATAATTAAAAAAGAAGAAATAAATCAAAGAGGGGCTAATAATTCAGACTTCAACTGTGTGTATATAGATAGATAGATAGATAGATAGACAGACAGACAGACAGACAGACAGACAGACAGACAGACAGACAGATAGATAGATAGATAGATAGATAGATAGATCATAACAAGAATTGCTGCTTAATTGAATGCATGTAATAGCGACACCCGGTGGTTATTTATTGAATTACGTTCATTTTTGTATAGCGGGCCAGATTCTATTGATATTTATAAAAAGCCTCGCGGGCCGCCACAAAACTGATTGCGGGCCGCAGATGGCCCGCGGGCCGTAGTTTGGACACGCCTGCTTTAGGGGAATCGGCGTCTTAAAAGTACAGCAGTTCCAACTATATTCTCATTTCCTTGTCATCTGGTGAAATCCTCTTGTGTAGGGGTAAGACACAAGACTTTTGCAAATAAGAATTCTGAGGTAAGTGGCTCCTCTCTGTTGTTCAGCAAAGATGCAGGACACAGTAAAAAGGATTCTCCAGTTGACAAGTCTCTTAGCGTGCACTCAGCTGCTGATTACAGCAATGCCACCTTGATTGAACATGCTATTGGCAACTTCTCAGTTAGTAATGACCTATGTCAAGTTGACACTGCTGTAACGGTGGATATTAATGAGGATCATAGTTATGCAACTTTAAGTTCCACACATGAAACTCCTAAGTTTATTAAAGAGGATCACAGCTACAACCTTGCGTCTCCGAGATCTTTAAAACGGAAAAATCAGGCCACTGACCAAATTCTACAAAAATACAGGAAAAAGCTTAAAATTGAATCCCAAAAGTCTAGGCGTTTAAAAAACAAAATCTCCACCTTAAAGGATGTCGTCACAGAACTCAAGAAGAAGCTGTTGATATCCAATGAATGTGCTTCTTTGCTTGAGTCAATTGATGAAGTGCCAAAACACATCTTGTTGAAAATACAGCAGGGGAAAAAAACCGCAAAGTACTCAGAGGAGTTGAAGCAGTTTGCCACAACCTTGCATTTTTATTCCCCAAAGGCATATGACTACGTACGTGACAATTTTCAGAAAGCGCTGCCACACAGTCACACCATTCGAAATTGGTACAGCAGCGTATCAGCTGATCCTGGATTTACTGTGGCATCTTTCACAGCGCTGAAATGTCATGTAGAGGAGAATAAAGATAGAGGAAAAGAAACAGTATGTGCCCTAATGATGGATGAAATGTATATTCACAAGATGACTGAATTTGCAGGGGACCAGTTTCATGGCTATGTGGACATTGGTACTGGAGAAATTGACAACACGTTGGCTACCCAGGCTTTGGTCCTCATGGTTGTGGCTGTAAATGAGTCATGGAAAATTCCCATAGCATACTTTCTCATCACAGGTATGGATGGATCAGAGAAGGCCAATGTCATTAGGGAGAGCCTTAGCAGACTTCATGAGGTTGGTGTCAAAGTTATCTCTCTTACATGTGATGCCCCCACGACCAACTTGGCTATGATAAGGAAACTTGGCGCTGACCTAAACATCAACAACATGAAGCCTTACTTCATGGATCCTGAGGACCCTACTCAGAAAGTACATGTGATCCTGGATGCATGCCACATGCTAAAGCTTCTTCGCAATGCCTTTGCATCTTCCCTTGAATTTGAGACAGAAGATGGAAATAAGATTAAGTGGAAGTACATTGAAGCCCTCAATGAACTCCAAGAAAAAGAAGGTCTGCGACTAGGAAACAAGCTGAAGATGGCTCATTTAGAATGGCGAAAACAAAAAATGAAAGTCCATCTGGCAGCACAGCTCTTCAGCAGCAGTGTGGCAGATGCTACAGAGTTCTGTGAGCAAGGCTTGAAAATGGAGGAATTCAAAGGTTGTGCTGCAACTGTGCAGTTTTTGCGCACTGTAGATGCAGCTTTTGATGTACTGAACAGCAGAAATCCTCTTGGAAAAGGTTTCAAAGCCCCAATCAAAACAACAACT